TCTGTACGTATTTTACAAAATCAGAAAATATGCATATAGCAGCTGTAGCTTTATCTGGATGGGTTTTCACCAAATTTTCATCTCGATGGCGCAATAAATGCTATCTGTTATTTCTTTACAAAAATACATGGACAAACAGACGTATTGACGAACAAACATGTACCAGAATGTGATTCTATGAGGATCCTTAAAAGTAACTATGGGTCTACCTCATTTCCTTCTCCATGTTACAAATAAATGCACAAAGAAATAATGCCTTGATCATTTTTTTTTTTTAGAAAACGTGTACTCTTTGAACACTCTCGTTTCACTCTCAAGCATATCTGACCTCTGGCTTTAATGCTTATCATTTGTAATGTTTTTCTGCCTAGGAAATACTCAGAGCGGCTGAGAAAATCGATATCGCCCACGGAGAAGCATTCAAACTTGGACTTTTATCATTTCTGGCTTAAATCGTTGAAACCCTAAATATCCGAAAGAAATGGTTATATGGACGCTGTACGAAAACGTGGTCAGTCCCAATCAACTTGGGCAGAATTCAGGCGGTATCTTGATTTCAACAGACAGACGAACTTAAATTAATGCTTGTGTTACAAACCGAATGCTAATTTAATGAAATTAAAAAGGAAAACAAATTTAATTTAATTTCGACAGGTGAAGGGCACTAAAGATCACAGCAATCGACCTCGTGTATGCCAGAATCGGCCTCATATGTCCAAATTACACTCCTGGAAATGTTGTGTAGAGGAAATATTCCTTCTGGAAATCAAAAAACATGAACTATCAAACTCTCAGCGAGGATAAGATTTTAGAAAAAAACTAAGAGTTAATCTTAAAATTTAATTTTGGGCTAATTAAAAAAATGGCATAGATTTTTTCTTTCAAACATCGATTTCACTAGTGTATTATATTGATGTGGATTTATGTAGGAATATGTTTGCAGTATTGTGTGCGTATGTCCAATAAATACTTTGATTGAGTGTGTGTGTGTGTGTGTAACACTCATACCACATATGTTTTCATTATATCCTTTATGGACCTAATATTCTTTCAAGTGCATGACATTTATGATTGAGGGGTTTTCTATGTAGATTGGTGAGTGTGTCTGTGTAAAATCTATACTGACAAATCAATTCATGTCAATTTACAAATAATTCTATATATTTTTTTATTTATAAGTAGTTGTGTATTCATATATAGAGTCTATAGAACTAGTTTTGCTGTGCTTTTGTTTTTCTATTTTTTTATAAATTTTCTCCTTCTTCTCCATTTCAATAGTTTTCAACATTAATGGATTTGCAGCATATTTTCATGTGTTAGATTTTTATGTTTTATTTATATTTTTTTTTTTTTTTGTATATTTTATTTACAACTCACATTTATGTCAATTCTTAATTTAGCATATTTTGTTTTGCTTTTTTGTTTCTTTATTCTTTTTTTCTTTTTGGCAATAATATAATATTTAATATAAATTTATAATTTCAATTTTGTTTTATTTTTGGTTGTGAGGATTTACTGTGCCTGCAAAAGTAAAGGATAAACCTTAAAAAATAATATGGGTGTTAGTAAAAATTGAAAAAGAGTATCGAAAAAAGGACATATGAAATAGAACATTGTATAAGAGGAAACATATTTGGCCTTTTTTATAAAAAAACAATTATTTGAAAAATATTTGCTGGGGTGCACGTGAATAGAGCAATATGCAATAAGAGAAAAAAACTACACTACTTGCTAAAGAAATATTTAAATGATATGTTGAAAAAAATTGGAAAATATTTAAAAAAAACATATACATAATGAAAACAAGAAGGAATAAAAAAAAAACAAAAATATATGAACATGCATTAAAATATATTTATTTAAACATGCATTATTATTTTTCATTTAATTATTCATTCAATTCTTACACCTGAGTATAAATTTACCTTTGTTTCTGTATTAAAACACATAACACACAGTGCATCGTTAGCTCCCCTAAATATAACCCCAAATTGAATACATTTTCCGAAAGAAAGTAGAAAACTATTCCTCAAATCTTTTTTAAGTTGATTTACACTTTACTCCTTACAAAACATGGCTCTATGGGGCTATACAAAAACGTGGACATATATATACAATGTTTCGCCACCGGAGCTAGAACCCATTAAAACCTACAAATACCAATTTTTAGACAAATCCGTGGTAAAAATGTGGCAAAAATCATCATAATGCCTAATATCGGGAGGTTATATGGCGAATATTCGCAACGTGGACCAATATATCTCATTTTCAATACCATCCTATACACAAATTGTTCTGCTTAATTTTGAAAGTCTACGTCGTGATTTCAACAGACAGACGGATAGGCAGACGGACATCGTTCAATCGATATATAATTTTCTACTGGTTATGATACTTTATGGGGTCTACGACGAATATTTAGGGATGTCACAAACGGAATGACAAAACTAATATTAAAATTGGAGTGGAAGCCGAATCAGGATAGAAAAACAGTAGAAGCAACGGTCCGGTGGATTTTGTGTACAAAAGACTCCACTATTATATGTTTTATTTGTACAGATTATCGACAAAGTTTTTAATTTTTTAGTTCCACCATTCATCCAGAATTTGGAAGAAACTTGAAAAATTTCAAAAAAAAAAAAATCCGTTAAAAAATGCCGCTCAAAAGAAACCCGTTATATGGGGGCTATACGAAAACGTGGTCCTGTATAGGTAATTTGTGTCATAGGCGTGTAGTAACGGTTCCGAAATTTATATAAATGTGGCTAAAAATCATCAAAATACCGAGTATCGGGAGGTACCGTTATATGGGGGATATTCTATATCGTGGACCGAGGGGGTAAAGTACTTACAAAGAAAGAACTTTACTCTATACTGAACCTAGATAATTCTCTTACATGGTTCAAATTCCAAAGAACTCCTCGTGTAGAATTTCAGATAATTCCAAATCTTGCAAAAATCATCAAAATACCGAATATCGAGGGATACCGTTATATGGGGGCTATACGATATCGCTAGGCTATCTTCGAACTTGATCTGCCTGCAGACAAAAGACTGATCTGTGCAATTCTATCTTAATTCGTTTTGACTGTAGCGAGATTACAACAGACGAACAGGCGGAGGGACGCACAGGGCTAAATCGTCTCGTCTCGTCTCGTTTATGAACGAATTTTACGCCCTCTCTAAAATTAGCAAGGTTCTCTCGTTTTGTTTTGATCCCACTCGACTTTAAGTGAATTTCACTTTCTACTCGAATTCGAGCGAGTTTTTTCGGAGATCTGTCTAAAGGTATAAAATTATGCAAATTGTACAGAACAAATTATGAACGATCAGTTAGAGCTATAAATTTGAAGCACCACGGACAATTTTAAAGGTTACAAAATTATTCTACATTGTAATTGAACGATTTATGGGAGACGGAATGATGCAAATTAGCCTAGGCAAACCTTCAATATATAAAGGGGATTTTCGGAACCTCACGCTTTCAGGGTACGAAAATTATTGTTATTTATAGATCAATAAAAATATAAAGATGGTTGAATTCTAAAAGGCCGTCTGTTGAATTATTTGGTATGGTCCAAATTTATAGTTTGATATTGATTCGTTTGAAAAATTCCAAAGAGTTCGAAATACAAAACGAACAAAAAAATAAGTAATAATTTTGAATTCCTCTGGGTGTGTGTGGAATTTCTCATCATCATTTTTAATGGAAACTTATAAGACGACAAGAGGCATTGATATAGTATAATTTGGTAGTATATAGGAGGCCCATAATTCACAACAACAATAAAATAATTATATCCTATAGAAATGACATCTCTGTGATCTATTTATATACATTTTTTTACACATTTCGTCAGTGTAATGCTTAAGTGTGCCGTACACATTTGCGTATTTAGTTATAAGTTATATGAATGATATATGAAGTATGACTTTCTGTAAATCTGATTGAAAAAAATTATACAGGTTTTTAAATCAATTTTTAACTTTTACGTTATTTAATTATTTTCATATTAACAGAAACCTCTGGAGAATCCAGCACGTCACAAAAAATAGGACAGATATCGGAAACTGGACAGAGCACATCGGGAAAAAAATTTCAAAATGTCGTATAGAACACATGAGAATGATACCGATGATTTCCAAACAACGCTAAATTTAAAATATATGAAATTACTCAAAATAGAACAGTGTGGCTTGTTTGTTCGGGATACCGTAGTATTTTGTTGTTGCAAAAATTTTAGGCTTTATCCCTTTATTGTTGTTTTTATAAAAACAACGTTTGTTTATTAGTGGAGAACGATGGTAATGTTTACCAGGGGGTAAGGCAGGGAATACCTAGGTTTCGGAAAGAGCCACCAATCCTCATCAGTTCCCTTGTTTTTTATCTGGGATATTCTCCCCAGAAGTTATTTTAAAAATAACTTCTATGACAAAAAACATTTTTTACCCAAGTGACGAGATCGTAAGCTCAATAGAAGAGGAACCAAAGAATTAAATAAAACTAAAATTCTTTTGGAAAGTCTTCTAAATCTTACAACCGCACTTATAAACATTTACATCTTTCTCCACTCAAAATATCTAAAATAATCCAAAATGCCTTCTTTTTAGATCACAGTTTTCTTTGGTACTTCTCCCTGACCCTAATTCCCTTTGAATTTCTCATCTCTTTTTAATTAGTACCAAATTTGCCGAACACTCAAACAATAAAAATACGAATTAAAGCTTAACAAAAAGGAAAGAGAAAAAAGAATGTAATTTAAAACTCAATAACTATTGCGAGCATAAAACATGCACAAAAGCAAAAGAAAAGCTTGGTACACGAAAAAGAATTACGAAAGGAGTAACAAAATAAAACGTAACCAAACAAAACTACTTATTATGTACATATTGCCTATGTAAAGTGCAATAATATTTATTTATGTCAAAAGCTTTCATGTTGCCTTTCACTTTGTTCTTGTTTGTAAAATGTTGTTGTTTTTTATGGTTTGGTTACCTACCTGGGGGCTAACTTGGAATTGCTGAATGGGGTAGGCTACGACACCAGCTGCCTGAGGTATGGCAGCACCGGCAACACCCGCCGTCGCCAACTGTTGAGCAGGAGATATTTGGGCTTGTGTAGCAACGCCTTGCCAAGTTGTGGGTATTTGGACGCCCATACTGGAACGAAAGAAATGCGAACAAGAAGAAAAAAAGAAATATGGCGTTAGTTGGTTACTCTATAAAGGAATATTTCAGCGTCGTCCTTGGTGTGACAAAAAATAAAAAAAATGTTCATAACAAAAATAAAACTAATTTGTTTAATAGATACTTAATCTACATTAGAACACGGCTACACCTATGCAACTATAATTATTGTTCAAAAGTATGTGGATGTGTGTGTGTGTGAGTGTATCTCCTTCACAATCTTATGGATGGAATGAAGGAAAAAGTTAAGTTTAACAAGTGGGCGTTAAAAATTTCATTTTCACATATATACACACACTTTTATAACAAGATATAAGTCGTCATTTAGAAAATTAAAAACAAAAAAAAAAATGTAGTACTGATGACATTCTACACGAATAAATATTCACACATATGTAGGTATGGGAGTGTGTGAGTGTGTGAATATGAATTTAGTATAGTGTAAACATTTAATGAACATGACTGCCAGCCAGCCAGCCAGGCTGACTGCCTTCCTGCCTGACAATTAGTAAATGAATTCAGACATTCGTCATTTTATCATTCATTATACCCAAAGGCATTTCAATCATTAAAATATGTAAGAGTTTATATTTATATGTGTCTTGGTATAATTTATATAATATATATATACACATATTAAAATAAGTGGAAGTTTTGGTGTAAGGACACCCATATTAACGATGAAGGATATGGAATTTCGGACAAATAATTTGTAATTACATTACATGTATTATGATATATAGTTATTTTAAGGTAACAGGTGCTTTCGGGCAGAAGTTTCTTAGGAAATACCCACGGACAAGGTGTTCTCAAATGAGAAATCCTTACACAAAGTCACACCGATTTTACTAATACAGGGTGAGACGAAAAAAAAACTGCAAACAAATTCAGACTGCGGTCATTTCTATGACACTTGTCCGACAGCTGTCAAAATTATTCCAGTGACAGCTCATTATAATGTTTATAAGCGTACAAAAGCATTTTGTTGAGAATTTTCCAGAAAAAAGAGAGCACTTCAGCATTTCAATGTAAATAAATCTTTTGTGTCTCGTACCATCGCTCTTTACCGTGATACTGGTAGCGTAGCCCGACGTCAAGGAACTGGACGGATGAAAACAGCAATATCAGCAGAAACGGTTCGAAGAGTAAAGAAGTGACTTGATCGAAACCCGCGCCGCAGTGGCCGAAAAATGGCTCGTGGCTCGTGAGCTGAACATATCGCAGTAATCCATTCGGCAAATATTGAAAAATGAGCTCGGGGTAAAGCCATTGAGATTCCAAAAAGTGCAAGAACTTACACCGCAACGGAAAGAAAATAGACTTAAAAGAGCTAAAGAGTTGCTTCGCTTGGCCAAAAGTGGTGAACTGCCGAATTGGGTCTTCTCCAATGAGAAAACATACGTTGTCAGCCACCAGAACTCAAGCACCGGCCATGGTGATGGTGTGGGCCGCCATAACAGCCGATGGTCGCTCTTCGCTCGTATTAATCGACTTTGGCATCATTTATTCTAATGGCATCATTTATTCTGATTGTCGCGAAAATATTCTGGAGGGTGTATTAAAGCCTTGGGCACGTAGAACTTCGTAAGTCCAACAGGACTCAGCACCCTCCCATCAGCACGCCCCATCCAAGAATGGTTACAAAATGGGGTTCTTCGCTTTATTTCCAGTGCACAATGGCCACCGAAATCTACGGATACCAATCAGTTGGACTATTGTGGCAGGAGTATTTTGGAAAGCAGGGTTGGCACTAAAAAATACCAAAGTGTCGATCACCTCAAACAAGCGCTTAGTCGGTAATGAGCCAAAATACCGCAGAGCAACATTCGGGCAGTGTGTGACTGTTTCATTGGCGTTTGACGGCCATAATTCGTGCCAAAGGTGGGCAATTCGAACAAATCTATTTCCGACATTTTTAAATTAAAAAAATTAAAGATTATGGCATTTGATTTTCTTGCAGTTTTTTTTTATCTCACCCTGTATAGCTCATTTTCAATACCTGTAGACCAAACACATATCTTAGTAAAATTTTATCAATCTATTTAATTTCATTCGGAAGCTAGAGTTATTTCCACAGACGGACGGACGGAAGGACATCGCTAAATCGCCATAGAATTTTATGTTAATTTAGAATATGTATACTTTGTATAATATAATAAAAATTTAAATATATAATAAAAATTTAAATACGTCATGTTTAGATTTTTGCTTAGGAAAATTGACACTCCTTCTAATCTCACTACACAATACGTCAACATTTTGTAAAATAATAACTCTCTTAAAATGCAATAACCGATGTTTTCTTATCCATATTAAAAAAAAATAGATTATCAAAATTCTGGTACCCGATTATTGAGGATCGAATACCCAATAAAGTAAAATCTTGGTATATTTTAATATTTGCATCTGTCTAAAGTTAGAGCAAACATGGCAAATATTGACCCACTTCTTCTAGCATCAAGAAGTCCAATGTTTATGGCACATCCCCAAAATAGAATATGTATTTATAAAATAAGGCCCGATACAATGGACATAATTCTAGAACGCAGAAAATTTAATAAACGTAGCGATATTACAAGTAATATGTAATATCGTTGTCCTAATTTTAGGCCTCCTGGTGGAGCAGTTGTCCTGGCCGCCTGGTGGTCAAGAATGTCATATATGACTACCAAAAAATTTTGCTGTCGCGGTTTACAGTCGGTCAGTTATTAAAGTCAATTTCCCTCAAAGAGCATCTTGCTTCCAAGATATACAACAAGGAATTGTATACCTACAGTTTTTAATATTTTCCTAGCGAACCTCGTACATTTACATTCACGCCCATGTAAGTGTTTAAAGTGTGTAACCTCAATTTGTGTTTAAATTGTGTTTACATTAACAACACTCAACAAATACATATATATCCCTACAAACACACCATACATTTGTACATACAAATTTGTCATATAATATGCACACACATACATACATCTGCAATTTACATACACATCAATTCTTTGGTATGTATGTAGTTTTTGTGTAAACACTTTGAACCTGCTGTCATTTACTGAATATATGTATATAGTCCCGTTGTCATTGATGTTTTCAAAAGTGACATTTTCAGTTAAAGGATTATTTTCAATATTTGTTTTAAGCATTTTGTTTACTTTGTTATAATCAATTATTCGTAAAATTTTAAATTGTTTTTGATGTCCGGCCGAGGATTCGTTTTAATTGTATGGGTTGTTGGACAACACAGAGAGACTATGCAACAAAATTGTGCTATTGAATTAATGAGTTTGAAAAAAAAAAATGGTCGGTGTTGAAAACAATGTGTTTTGAAAGCAAAAGGACAAGTGTTTCATATACTTTAAGAATTTGTTAAAATTATTATAATATTTAATTTGGTATATTTTAGGTATGTTTATGTTTAGTTCTTTAACTTACCCCATATAGCCTTGCTGATAACCACCATACTGCCCAAAGTGATAGCCTTGAATACCTTGCAGAAATTGATTTTGTACCGCAGCTGAGGCAGCAGGTGTTACAGCAGCTGTGGCCGACGAAGCAGGATACGTGGGAGTTGGTGAATACCAGCAGCCGGTGGCTGCCAACTGTTGTCCATAGGCAGCAGCGGCGGCAGCTGCAGCTCCAACGCCATAGGGAAATCCGGCAGCAGCTGGATTCAGAGCCTGACTGGCCAATGATTGGGCATTGTTGGGATCACCACTCTCCTTACCCCAAGAACATTTCACAGGTTGGGCATTGATCTCGGTATTGTGAACGCCAACAATTGCATGGGTGGCAGCCTCTTTTGTAGAGAATCTAAAACAAAAAAAAAAATAAGTAAATTAGATTTGCTCACACACATTTCGAGGTAGAAGGCAATTGCCAATACATACCTTACAAATGCATAACCCTTATCCTTGAATACGCGTATCTCTTGTATTGAACCGTAGGGAGAAAATGTCTTTTGCAATATTTCTTCGCTCAACGAGGTGAGAGAACTATTGACACCACCAACATAGACGGTACAGTTTGAGGGGCTACTTTGATTGTAAACTTCATCGAATGTTAGGGGTTTTACATTTTCTGAAATGAGAAGAAAAAAAAAAAGGAAAAAATTAATATTCAATTGATAGAACAAAAAATAATTATTTTAACAATGAAGTTTGATTTAAATATTTGGATAGCATTAATATGTAAAATCTAACTATATTTGGCAAAGAAGGCTGCCATATTGTTTGGATATTAAATACGAATACTGATACTTTGTAACAAAGTTTCATTCATTCGAAGACCAAATGATATACCATGAAAGTGGAGGATTATGCCAACTGCTCATCGTAAAATCTAGTCACTATGATAGAATTACCTTAGACTAGGCAATACATGAAACATAATATTGTTCCCATTTTTTTATATTATATATTGACCAACATTTAATAATTTAAAAGGTCTTACGCAGATTTCTTGATCAATTTTCCCAATGAATTGTGAAGCCACCAATAGTTGTTTCTACTGTGCCTGCAACGAAATGTCATGTTTTGCGACAAATTCTGCTAGTGGTTGGTACTTGCATTTAGTAAAAAATTAAGAAATATTTTCAAAATTTGAATAGCTTTAAAGTGGTGTTGGATTTCTTTGGTATTGGAACATTTGGGACCCATATTAGTAGTAATTATTTGCCTTCTTGTGAATGCTTGAACTAGTGAGACCAATTGACAACTTTCGACAACATAATACAGAAATTCTAGAAGATTACGTTGATGATTTGTAAATAACAGAAAATGTTACGTTGTGTCGCCGTCTCTTTATTGAAATCAGGACATAATTATTTTAACAACTTCGAGATAAGCCATATAATAGCAACTCCTGATTTTCCTTATTTTTCTATCAACAAAACTTTCGTGTGAAAAATACAATAGCCACTTCCTGTCCAATTCACAAACACAAAGGCAGAAAAAAAGGTCAAAAGTCTGGCTGGATGGACTATGATACCCTACACCACTGATATCACCATCACGAAGTAACTCCATATATATTTTTGATCAGCATTAATTTGTATGTAAATTTATTCATGTACGCCTCCCTGTCCTTTTGTGAAAACTACTGTAACTTCCGAACGAAATGAAGTGGATCGATAAAATTTTGCTCAGATATACTATATGTCCGCAGAATTGTATGGAAAATGTGCCACGATTTGATATAGTCTTCATATAGCGATCTATCCAGATTTAAGTTGTATTGGATGTTTTAGTCGCACAGGGTGAGATGAAAAAACTGCAACCAATTTCAGGCTGCTGTCATTTCTAAGCCATTCGTCCGACAGCTGTTAAAATTATTCCAGTGACAGCTCATTATATGGTTTACAAGCGCACAAAAGCATTTTGATGACATTTTTTTTGAAACAAAGCTATTCGTGATGAAATTCAAGCGTGATACTGTGTGATTTCTTTATATTTGGCTGAAAAACCACAAGTGGCTATCGTTCGAGCACTCCAGCATTTAAATGTGAATAAATCTTTTGTGTCTCGTACCATCGCTCGTTACCGTGATACTTGTAGCGTAGACCGACGTCAAGGAAGTGAACGGAAAAAAACAGCACCATCAGCAGAAATGGTTTGAAAAGCCAAGAAGCTAAAATTTGATGCTATTTCCGACATTTGTTGTTTCATTCAATAAAATTAAAAAAAAAAAAATGTAAAAACTATGGCGTGTGACTTTGTTGCTGCTTTTTTAACCCACGCTGTTTTTGTTGGGACATTATAAATTTGATTGGGCCAAAAAGTGTGTAACACCTCGAAATATTTGTCTTGCAAATAGGAGATTATATATGGATCTCGCCGAGCTGAGTTGATCTAGCTATGTGTGTCTGTCCGTCCGTCCATTTGTAATCACGCTACTGGTAGGAATTATCACTCCATCCTCACGAAATTGAGATTGGAAGTGGGGTTGGAGTCAGAATAGGAGCCTAGTTTTGTTGAAGGCGATCGGACAATATTTAGGGGTTGATATAGACCAAAAAATTAGAATTTTCCTGATTTTGCAGTCGCTTTACAGGTCACAATTATGGAGAGAGGTAAAGACAGGGCATAATTCCAGCATTTTGGATGACCATTAGATTAAATGGATAGATTATATGTAGCCTACAAAACGGACCACAACTTTCGTGTGAAATTGTTTGAATGCCAATCAGCATGACAGAGAGCGTGAATATGGGCAAATTCCCCAGGCCAACAAACCAAAGATAACATTTGTGCAGGGTTTGTCTGCTATTATATCAAAAACGAAATCTACCAAAATTAATTTGGACCTAAGGGACTTTCAACATATTATAGTGTTGTAGGGTATCACATGGCCGGCACCCTTGCTCACTTTTTTGTAATTCTGTCTGAAAATGCAGATTTTAATTCTTTTTCTAGGGTTTCTTTAAGGTAAATTTGCCGGTATAAATCCCATAAAAATATGTAACAAATAATAATAAAATAATAGAAACAAAATTTACTGTATTTTTGTAAATGTCATGCAGTCTTAGTTTTATATTAATTTAATCCTACCCACACAAATATTAATTTCTTAAATGATTGAGATAAGTGAAACCCGTCAATAAGTAATGAAATATTTTACTTAAAATTCTGCCTCCACTTTTTTTGGAATTTGCAATAAATATCAATAAAATTTGTGTAACGAACATATTTTGCTAAAGGCCATAATTAGGTAATAAAATTAAATACGAATTTGTTGTTCTTTTTTATTTTCCAAAAATATTTTGCTCATATTATAATTTCGTGGAAATGGCTTTAATTTCTCAAAAAAGGAAAAACGAAAAAAAATTATATAATATATTCCTTTAATATGTTCTTTGTTCAATTTATAAACTCGTGTTGTTATGGAGGGGGGCAAAGGGTGTTGGGTAGATTCTAAGACCCTAATGAACTGTCTTCCTTCATAAGCTTGGTTATTTTGGCCATTTATTAGGTTTTGTTGGCTAAGTTGGGTTGGTTTGGTAAGGGTTGGTCCCTACTTCTCGTTTTGCTGTATTTGTAGCAGAACACCACCAACAATGCATACATGCCCCAGCCATAGTGGAGTAGTAGTAGAAGAACAATTGCTTTTATTGTATTACCACATGTTTCCACATCAATTTCATTATAAAAATATATAAACTTTCCGCCCCTCTCCGCTGCGTTATTACAGGTGAGCGAGAGCAAGAGAGTGCCTTATTTTCATTTCGGCCAAGGGGTTGTAGCTACTGTTGCAGCAGCACCAGCTTGGCACATTCATTGTGTTCTGTGTTCTGCTAATTACAATTTTCTTTTTTGCTATTACTGTTGTTGTTGTTGCTGTATGTACGTTGTTGTCCTGTGTTTGCATTTTACTCTGTGCATTGTTGTTGCCAGAGCTATTGTTTTTCTTGTTGTTTTGTTAATTCAGGTTAAAATAAAATTTGCAACTTTTAACAAATAATGTCAGCATTGCGTGTTTATGTCTTTGTTTTGTATGAGTGTTGGTCGTTTTTCCCCTGTTGTTTAATTTATCCGTTTATACCATGTTGAAGTTTTATAAACGTTTGTTCGTTGGTTCGGTGATGGTGGTGGTGGGGGTTAGTATTTATAGTGTATGTTCGTATTTCATATATATATTATAAATAATAATAGGGTGAAGACATGAGGATGAGCAAAAAAATATGAAGACTCGGAATATAACTCGAAGTTGGGGTATTTTTTTAGTTACAGCAAATATAAAATAAATACTGCAGACCTCATAATGTATACATACAGGGTGAGATGACAAAACTACAACCAACTTCAGACTGCTGTCATTTCTAAGCCACTCGTCCGACAGCTGTTAAAATTATTCCAGTGACAGCTCATTATATTGTTTACAAGCGTTCAAAAACATTTTGGTTAGAATTTTCCAGAGAGTTTTCCAAGCGTGATAGTGTAATTTCTTTATATTTGGCTGGAAAACCACAAGTGGCTATCGTTAGAGCACTCCAGCATTTAAATGTGAATAAATCTTTTATGTCTCGAAACATCGCTCGTGATCGTGATACTGGTAGCGTAGCCCGACGTCGAGGAAGTGGACGGCAGAAAACAGCAACATCAGCAGAAATGGTTCGAAAAGTAAAGAAGCGACTTGATCGAAAATCGCGTCGCAGTGGCCAAAAAATGGCTTGTGAGCTGAACATATCGCAATATTCCCTTCGACAAATATTGAAAAATGAACTCGGGGTAAAGCCGTTGAAATTCCAAAAAGTGCAAGAACTACACCGCAACAGAAAGAAAATAGACTCATAAGTGCTAATGAGTTGCTTCGCTTGGCCGAAAGTGGTGAACTGCCGAATTTGGTTTTCTCCGATGAGAAAACATTCGTTGTCCAGCAGTTTGTTAACAAACAAAATGAGCGTGTTTACATGCCAAAGAGGTCAGCTGAAAAGTGCACCTTCGGTTGGCCACCAGAACTCATGCGCCGGCCATGGTGATGGTGTGGGCCACCATAACAGCCGATGGTCGTTCTCCGCTCGTATTAATCGGCCGTGGCATCAGATTAAATGCCGAAAATTCTGGAGGGTGTATTAAAGTCTTGGGCACAAAAACATTTTGTCCGCAGACCTTGGACATTCCAACAGGACGCAGCACCATCGCACTCAGCACGCGCCACCCAAGAATGGGTACAAAAGGAGGTTCCTCGCACAAGGGCCACCAAAACCTCCGGATACCAATCCGTTGTAGTATTGTGTCTGGAGTATTTTGGAAAGCAAGGTTTGCACTAAAATATACCAAAGTGTCGATCACCTCAAGCAAGCGCTTCGCCGGAAATGGGCCAAAGTACGGCAGAGCAACATTCGAGTAGTTTGTCACGGTTTCATTGGCAGTTTGAAGGACATAATTCTTGTCAAAGGTGACCAATTGGACCAAATCTAAACTTATTCTAAAATTTGATGTTATTTCCGACATTTTTGCTTTTTTCAATAAATTAAAAAAAAAATTAAAAACGATATATAACAAATTTGATTTAAACTATTTGGTGATATAAGTTCGAATTTTAAATAAATAAAATATTAAAGGGAAAGAAAATTGTACAAC